GGTTCAATTATAGCACTTCATTACACATGAGTATTTCTAAGCGCATTCACAAAAACACCCATTTCAACACCATTTTTGGGGGGTTGGATGGCCGAATGGTGACGACCTGTCATTTAGTCAACTGGCGTGGTTTCGAATCCCCGGTTATACGTGACAAGGAGTAGGGTCGCCTGTCCAACCTCATGGGTTTTCTCCGGGTCCTCCCACTGCCAAAGACCCCTACGTGCAAGCAAATTATTGAAATAAAATTAAACTATATGTTAGTCCCGAATGACCTAGTTTGTGTCAAGTGGACGTTAAACCCCATTTCTCTCTCTCTCTCTCTCGTTAAACCCCATTTCTCTCTCTCTCTCTCAACACCATTTTTGAAATAATGATTTTTTAAGTTTTGGATGGAAGAGGACTCACAAAGAGTTTTTGGAAGACAATTTCACCTTTTAGCTGCTCTGACAGAGAAAGAATATTGACAAGCATATTCAATATGTTTCTTTTCTTACGATAGTTTAACAAAATAAAATTTACAGTTCGCACTACTTTCGAGTAGTTGTTGTAGTCACAGAGACTGGAATAGTAAGGAGAATGTGTTTGTGAACTGCACAGGTTTTTTTGTGGAATTATATTTATGACCCCTTTGCCACAGTGGCTAAGTGAATAAGACACTGGCTGGCTTGCTTGGAGGTCACAGGTTCACTCACAGTGTTGCCTGAGAAAGCTCATCAGAATTTTCCGACGTGGTTTCCACTTGTCAGTGGTGCAGGACGGAGGGCTTGACAAGGACAGCTGTCTAGTCGTTTGGATGGGACGAAAAACTGAGGTCTTATGTACACATTGGCATGTACATAAAAGATCCCCTGGCAGTTGGAATTCAATATAAGAGTAGGCCTGAGCACTGCTGTCCAAACAAAACTCCCTTGTAGCACACTGGCGCGAGGTTGGATGGCCAAATGGTTAGCGTGTGCGCGTTGTATCATAAGGTATGATTGAGTCAACTGGCGTGGTTTCGATTTCATGGTTGTACATGACAAGGAGTAAGGTCGCCTGTCAAACTTCATGGGTTTCTCTGGGTCCTCCAGTTTCCTCCCACTGCTAAAGACCCCTACGGGCACGCGAATTATTGAAATAAAATTAAACTATATATGTTAGTCCAGAAATGACCTAGTTTGTGTCGAGTTGATGATAAATGCCATTTCATTCTCTCTGAGGTCCCATGTACACATTGGCATGCACTTAAAGATCCCCTTGCAGTTGGAATTCAATATAAGAGTAGGCCTTAGCACTCCTGTCCAGACAAAACTCCCTGGTAACGCACTGGCGGAGGGTCGGATGGACAAATGGTTAGGCGGTGGACACACTAGCCGAATGATTCGGTGTCCACTGTCATTCGGCCGAATAATTTGCCCGAATCAATTATATTCGCCTGGTGTGTTCGCTTCGCCGAAGCATTCGGCCGAATATAGAATTCATTAGCCAATCACCACTCATATCGAGAAGTCACATGATAGATTAAAGACACAGACGTCGCCATGTTTAATCATGTGACGTGAAAGGTGATGCAACCGACAGGTTGAATCGGGCGAAGCATTCAGCTAGTGTGTCCACCCATTCAGCCGAACGATTCGGCTAGTGTGTCCGTCGATTTAGCGCATGCGTGTTGTATCATAAGGTATGTCATTGAGTCAACTGGCATGGGTTCCATTCCCAGGTTGAATATGACAAGGAGTAGGGACGTCTGTCCAACCCCGTGAATTTTCTCTGGGTGCTCCGGTTTCCTCCCACTGCTAAAGACCCCTACGGTTAGTCCTGAAATAACCTAGTTTGTGTCTAGTGAATGTTAAACCCCATTTCATTCTCACTCTCCCTTTGGATGGTGCCACACTTTTTCATGTATTATCATTATTTGTTTTCCCTCTCAGGTTTGATTTCGATTGCAAAACCACATAAAAAAGGCTATTAATTGGACTACTTTCAAGTTGCTGTAGTCACAGACTCAAATAGTAAGGAGAATGTGTTTGTGAACTGCAAATTTTTATTTTGTGGCACTACATTTATGACCCCGGAGCCACTGACTGGCTAGTGTTCATCAGGATTTTCCGATGTGGTTTCTGCTTGGCAGTGTTGCAGGACAGAGGGCCTGACAAGGACAGCTGTCTAGTCGTTCGGATGGGACGAAAATCTGAGGTCCCATGTACACAAAATGAAATGAAATGGGGTTTAACATCCTACTGTTCTGCTCCTAAACCGGGCTAATGAAGATATGCCTACACCATACAGTGTGCTATGAGGGAAATTTTGCCCGGGTAGCGGCACAACAGAATACTCTTATATCGAATTCCAACTACCAAGGGATCGTTTACGTGCACTCCAATGTGTACAATATCAAGTTACTGTAGTCACAGACAGGAATAATAAGGAGAATGTGTTTGTGCACTGCACAGGTTTCTAGTCTTTCGGATGGGACGAAAAACTGAGGTCCCATGTACACATCGGCATGCACGTTAAAGATCCCCTGACAGTTGGAACTCAATATATGAGTAGGCCTTAGCACAGCTGTCCGGATAAAACTCCCTTGTAGCACACTGGCGTGGTTGAATGGCTAATGGTTAACTTTCAAGTTAACACACTGGCTAACTAACGAGGGGTCCGATCCTGGTATAGAATTTTCCCCTTGTTTGTAATGTAGGACAGTGTCTAGTCCTTCAAATAGGACAAAAAATCAAGATCTTGTGCTCGTGTTGCATGTGCATGTAAACGAAACCTTGACAGCTGGAATTCGAAATGAGAGTAGGTCATTCATTCATTCCTTTTTCTCTTTATGTGTCGCTTACAGGCTGAAATTCTTAAAGGAGTTAAAAGGTTCGATCCCTGCATTGGCCGAGAAAGTGATGCGGGACGTAGGGCCTGATAAGGACACCTGTCTAGTTGTTCGGATCCGATGAAAAACTGAGGTCCTGTTGACACATTAGTGTGCACGTAAAAGATCCCTTGACAGTTGGAATTCGATATAAGAGTAGGTCGTAGTGCCGCTGTACGGGCAAAATGTCCCTCATAGGACACTGTATGGCACATGCCCGTCTTCATTAGCCCAGTTCGGAGCAGAACAGTAGGACGTTAAACCCCATTTCATTTCTATTGTTGGGCCCCTGGAAATGGACAAAAATGGGTAGCAAGGCATATAATAATATAACATGAATGTATATAAACTGAATAAAGTTCAGTCTTATCTGGTTTTACTGTATATTTTAATCAATTATGTTCGACAAAATATGCAAAAAGCCCAAATTGAATGACAGTCTTTGGCGTCTGCTTATTCTAGTCCACACCAGTATTCTCCTGTGGGATATGGTTAGCCTTCTTCATCGAGTCGCTTCATTACAAATGGTGCTCATGTTATTAAACTGACATTTGTTTACGTAAGAAAACTAAGGATAAAAAATGACAGTAATTTAATTGTTAGTATCATGAAATTAAACTGACATTTGTTTTACTTTATACAACTAATATCAAGTTTATGTTAGAAAACTAACATTAGATTTATGTTAGAAAATTAACGTTAGATTTACGTTAGAAAACTAACGTTAAATTAACGGTTAAAATTATGACATAAAAGTAACGTTATATTAACGTTAGAAAACTAACGTTATATTAACGTTAGAAAACTAACGTTAGATTTACGTCAGAAAACTAACCATAAACTAACGGTTAGAAACCTGATGTAAAATTTACGTTAGAATAACGTTAGAATTATCACCAATAATACATATATAATTATTATGTCTGAATTCCAACTATTTATCAATTGTTAGAATGTGCACACACTTGTAATGTTATTTAATCAAGAAGTATTTAAAGCGAAAAAAATTGGTTAGTAATCCGTCATAAAGTTTACGTTACATTTACGTCATTTTCTGACGTAAAAGTAACCATAACCATTATGACGTAAAAGTAACGTAAATTTAACCAAAGAATTTTACCATTATTGGACGCTAACCAAAATCTAACCATAATGACGTAAACTTTACGTAAATCTAACCATCAATGTTAACTGGGAAGATGTTACTGAAGCGGTTATTATTCGATCTAAAGAATGCGTATAAAATTAAAAATACACTCAGAGAATTCGGAGGTAAGCTTCATGATCCTTGTTAAATTATTTATAACATAAAGAAGATAGGATATTTATAGTTTATTCATGACTTTATTTTTACGAGTATCCGTGCAATCAGTGATATTTTAATTGTGAAGAAAATTTGATAGACTGGCGATCAATGGTTTCCATATAAATCTCCTATGTAATTGCCTTCAATTGATATTTTTCGTCGCCCAAACCCATATACGATCAAAATGATCGCGCTGTCAAACTATCTTTCAATGTTAACCAACCCCCGCAACAGGTATATTGGATTCGACCAATACGTCACGAAGACATTGTTGACATCGACATTGTTGACATCGACTCTGTCGAAATTACAAGTAAATTTTCAAATTTTTCAAGAGAGAAATTGTTCTCATCGTTGTGATAATTAGTTGTGCAATGGATTTTATCGAACGGGAGTTCATTACAAACACACAGGTAAGTTTATAATAACCAAAGTTAAGTAGTTTGTTCATAATCGAACTTGCTCTCTAATGTTTGATCTACTTAGCAGAGGGGCTTAAGGTTCAAACACACCAGTTGTGAAATCTGTGAGGAAATACACTATACCATATATATAAAGGATTTAAGTTACTGCTTGATCAAGACTAGACTGGGACATACTAGACACTAATTTCCACCAGTATCCTATAAAGGCTTTGCACTGCATTAAGATTATCTTGTCTGCGATATCACCTCGGTGGAAGCGGACGTAAAATACAACTAACTCATCATCATTAAGATTACTGTTTAATCAAGACTATACCACCACTGAGACATAATAGACACTAGTATCGATTATCATATAAAGGCTAGATTCAACTTTTTAAATTACTTTTTTTTCAAGACTATGTACCATACCTGAATCAGCTACTAAAATAGTTTATGGGTTTATCAAAAGGGGGGTTCCTAAAAAAATATATATATTATTTGTAGCGCATACTCGAAACTTGTTAAATCATTCATAATACTGAGTCAGTTACTAAAAATAGTGTGTTGGTTTCTACTAACGGGGATTCTTCAAAAAATATTTCCTTATTTGTAGCGCATACTCGAAACTTGTTAAATCATTCATAATACTGGGTCAGTTACTAAAAATAGTGTGTTGGTTTCTACTAACGGGGATTCTTCAAAAAATATTTCCTTATTTGTAGCGCGGCCTTGTCCCTTGTTAGAGCCAGAAGGCGCCTCAACATCGGTGAAAGACGGTCGTGTATTTGTGTTATAAAGTAATCGATCACGCCCATTACGTCATCAATATGTCTGATCAAGTGAGTATACGTCGCTTGGCCTAGACTCGTGTATTCTGAGCGGACTGACACAATCATGCAGCTGGTCTAGCTAGTTTTAATAGTTAAAGCGAGAATTTCATATTTTCTAAGAAAGTCAAAACATAATTATTTCTATATCTTTTGCTCAATAGGCTGTCAACTCAATATTATAGGATCATAACACAATTACCACCTTTGTTGTTCTACCCCCCCCCCCCATGGAAAAACTATCTGCAAACGTTTGAATTTGAAGTTGGAAATGATATTTTGGCCAATTTCTCAACTGGCAATAGTGAATTATAGGAATAATAGGATTATTCTGTAACAAGGTAGGACTGTTTATAGATACCATCTATTTTAAGGCTTTACTTTAAAACATTTTAAAAATATAACTTAAAAATATGAAATTCACTCGGCACAGCTGCAGTCTGAGTCTGTGTTTTGAAATGAACGTCGCCACTTACACCGCGGTCGTCAACAAAGTCCATGCCTACATTGCCGGTAATCATATTCGAGGGGCTTTTATATTCAACTTAATAATAATAGTCTCTGTTACTACATGATGTATGTATAGATGCGCGTGTTTTACATACATGTAAATATAGTTGGTGTTTTTGTTGTTTTATAGCCATTGATAATGCTGTAGCGTAGGTAGCCTAATGTTTTGTTTGTATTTGTATGCTGTCTCTAATAGCCTAATGGGGTGTTAAGATACAATATAATTTTATCTGATCTTATATTAGCCTTAGAAGAAGCAATTGACGATTTTTATATCCCTTCCACATACCCGGTTGAGAGTTAAAATAATAGAACTTACCTTCGGCACGAACCAAAAACCCAATATGGCGTCCCAGAAGCATCTTTCGCGGCAACATTTAGAGTCACGTTATCAGTTTCCGCGGGAAAAAAACCGCTAGTGTTACCAGATAATTTACTGAAGAATTAACCGGAATATTTGTCAGCTTCTAGTTGTTTTACAATAAGCCTTAAATAAAATGTATTATAGTTTGTATTGTGTTATTAAATCTCGATCTACGTCGTTAACCAGTACAACTGTACCCAAGATCATACGTCAATTTCTATAGATAAGCGCATTGCAATTCCTGTTTTAGGCCCGTATTATGCACTGAATTTGTGTAGCAAACGCTGCACATTACACAATATGCATTAATCACCATTTTCTGTGCTTTGTGTTATTATTTCAATTGAAAAACACCGGATGTAAAAACAGCGACATTTAGGTGCGGGAGAGGCATCTCGTTTACAGTTCATAATACATTTTTATAATACTTGACGGACGCAAACGACTTTTCTTGCTTTCCCAACCCGTGTGCTCAGCAACATGAAAGCAAGCCAGTATTGCCTATTTATTACACCAATAACTTTAATGCATTAAAGGAAATTATGATTTCCGAAAAATTATAAAACAAATAAATGATCGATGTCGCTCACCGCCGAGTGGGACCCGACGAAATGTTTCAATCCGCAATCAATGCAATACAAATTCGCCGTGTTCAATGACAAGAAAGTGAAAATGTTTTATTATACTTAAAAATCATCGAATTTGGGGCTCTTTATTTTACTGACAAGAAAGCAAAATATTTTCTTCCAAATAACATTCTGAAAGTTCCACTTTCACTTTCTCTCGGGATTTTGAATGTGACTTTTTACCTAAATTGCTGCCGGGAACAGGGAATGTCAGGCAATGTCATGACCTTGACTCAGGTTACAACCCCAAAATTGACCTTGCGGGTGCGGGTCACGACTTTGACCTTGACATTTATTCGCGATATCTGGGTGGTACATGAAGTTTTGGGACTTTTTCGATCCCAAGGTCAAGGGTCAGGTCAAAGGTCAAGACCCCATTCGAAAGGTCAATGAGTTGCCTATCCATGGTCATGACCTTTGATTTGCCGCGCAGACCAGGGGCCCCACCATGTGCCCGGGAGCATCGAACTCAGTAGATATTTTGGTGACCTTGACCCTTTCAGATGACCTTGACCTACCGAAGTCATGTAGACCAAGATGACATTTTGGAAGGTCAAGGTCCAGTGGTCCTGACTTTATTAGATGGGCCCCTAGGGTTCAAAAACAAAAATACTTCCGGGTCAAGGTCACGACTTTTGGTTGGCGATTTTAAAAAATGAAGAACAAATGTTGGGTCAGTCTATCGGGTCACCAAACCCCGGGGCGATCGGAAGACATTTTTTGGGCAAATTTCCCTAGAAAGTGAAATAGCTGAGCATTACAGCGGTGTGGTCTAAGGGCAGATAACTCGCCCATCCCAAATCGGATCCGACGACCTTGAGGTCGTGGCTATTGAAACTAAATTGACCCCGGGGAGTCTCGTGGTGACCTTGGTTTGACAATCAGAGGTCAAGGTTCGAACTGCTATATATGACGTTTCGATAACGTTATGACAACGTTGTGACAACGTTTTAACAACGTTGTGACAACAACCTGTATATGAAGTTTTGATAACGTTGTGACAACGTTGTGACAACAACCTGTATATGACGTTTTGAAGACGTTGTGACAACGTTGTAACAACGCCGTGACAACAACCTGTATATGACGTTTTGATAACGTTGTGACAACGTTGTGACAACAACCTGTATAATAATGACGTTTTGATAACGTTTTGAAGACGTTGTTACAACGTTGTGATAACGTTGTAACAACGCCGTGACAACAACCTGTATAATAATGACGTTTTGATAACGTTTTGAAGACGTTGTTACAACGTTGTGATAACGTTGTAACAACGCCGTGACAACAACCTGTATATGACGTTTTGATAACGTTGTGACAACGTTGTGACAACAACCTGTATATGACGTTAGAATAACGTCTTGATGACGTTGTGACAACGTTGTGACAACAACCTGTATATGACGTTTTGATAACGTTGTGACAACAACCTGTATATGACGTTAGAATAACGTCTTGATGACGTTGTGACAATGTTGTGACAACGTTGTGACAACAACCTGTATATGACGTTTTGATAACGTTTTGATGACGTTGTGACAACGTTGTGTCAACAACCTGTATATGACGTAAATACAACTAAAATTATTTCAACTATGAGTGTTTTCTTCTATCCAAAATATGGGTATAGTGACCCTGTAACAGAAATAGTTGATAGCTGTGTGTAATAATTAGTCTTTGAATTAATATTGTTGCTTTTTTGTCAAAATTATCTTCTACCGGTAATCATCTGGATAGAAATCGACGGCTCGCGCTGTTTATAAGAAAGTCCAATTTGTTAAGCAGTTGCAGTAGTACAGTAGTATCGAATATTGTACCTGTGACAAAAGGCGTGACGCTGTTTGAGCATGGACTCTATTTGTAATTAATATTTGAGTAGCTGATATGAACGCGATTCCGAAGTCCCGTGTACACATTGGTGTGACCGTAAAAGATCCCTTGGCGGTTGGTCTTCTATATAAAAGAAGACTAGCGCCGCTGTATGAGCATGTTTAGTGATCATTTCGGGACTAACATATGCTTTATTTTTTTTTATTTCAAGAATTAGCTTGCGCGTAGGGGTCTTTAGCAGCTGGAGGAAACCGGAGGACCCGGAGAAAACACACGAGTTTAGAAAGGCGACATACTCCTTGTCACCTTCAACCGGGGAATCGAAGCCCAGCCAGTTGACTCAATGACAGACCGTATGATACAGCGCAGTCCCATAGGCTATAGCCTACCGTGCAAATTCCAGCCAGCATAACGTATCTATATAAGAGACATTTATTCCTACTGGCGATTTACAAATATTGCATGAAGAAATTCAAATCATAAGAACATAAACACGACTAATGCACAGTATCATATTGATTATAAAAGTATAATGTATATATTGGTTATACTATATATGTCACAAAACAACAATCATTAGATAATAATAATTATTTACTAATTATATAAATCATTTGAGAGGTAGGAGTTATCCATTGTTTAATTTAACAGTTATATAATTACCCTGGTTAGAGAGAGAGAGAGAGAAATGGGGTTTAACGTCCAGTCGACACAAACTAGGTCATTTCGGGACTAACATATGGTTTAATTTTATTTCTATAATTCCTTCCGCGTAGGGGTCTTTAGCAGTGGGAGGAAACCGGAGGACCCGGAGAAAAACCCACGAGGTTGGACAGGCTACCCTACTTCTTGTCACGTACAACCGGGGATTCGAAACCACGCCAGTCGACTCAATGACAGACTTTATGATACAACGCGCTCACGCTAACCACTCAGCCATCCACCCCCCCCACCCTGGTTAGAAAGGTATGAGAGAGAGAGAGAGAGAAATGGGTTTAACGTCCACTTGACATAAACTAGGTCATTTCGGGACTAACATATGGTTTAATTTTATTTCAATAATTCCCTTGCGCGTAGGGGTCTTTGTTGGTGGGAGGAAACCGGGGGACCCGGAGAAAACCCACGAGGTTGGACAGGCGACCCTACTCCTTGTCACGTACAACCGGGGATTCGAAACCACGACAGTCGACTCAATGACAGACTTTATGATACAGCGCGCGCGCGCGCGTGTTACCCCCCCCCCCCCCGGTATGAAACCACCGTTATTTTGTGTACATGACGTCATCTCTTTATACCATTTAAAATAAAGCTCCCTGCTGCAGCTATTTATAAGAAAGTCGACCCTTTTTTAGTATAAAGGAAAGTTGAGGTTGATAATTATGATTTCGGGTTTTATTTGTTATCTGAGACTAAAAGACTGTTTTTGTACCATTCGGAAAACTATTTTTTGTCATTTTGGCGCATATACATACACTTTGAGCTTTTTAAACAGAGAAATACAACACCACGTTTGACCTCAATTTTTATTATGAATTAATACGATTTCATGATTCAATTTCATTGATGCAAAGCATTAATTGTGATATCACATATGTCTATTAGGAAGAGGGGTTTTACATAGACTAAGTCTGTACCCCAATCCCATTCAGACAACCTGTATAAAAATATTGTTTATAAAA